GGGGGCTCAAGCCTGTAATCCAGCACTTTGGGAGGCTGAGGCGGGTGGGATCATGAGGTCAAGAGATCGAGACCATCCTGGTCAACATGGTGAAACCCCGTCTCTACTAAAAATACAAAAACATTAGCTGGGCATGGTAGCGCGTGCCTGTAATCCCAGCTACTCCGGAGGCTGATGGCAGGAGAATTGCCTGAACCCAGGAGGCAGAGGTTGCGGTGAGCCGAGATCGCGCCATTGCACTCCAGCCTGGGGTAACGAGAGCGAAACTCCGTCTCAAAAAAAAAAAAAAAAAAAAAAAAAGCAGAGGCCAGCGAGGTCAACTCACACCTGTAATCTCAAGCACTTCGGGGGGCTGAGGTGGGAGGATCGCTTGAAGCCAGGAGTTTGAGAACAGCCTGAGCAACACAGTGCGACTCCCGTCTCTATTAGAAATAAATAAATAAATAAGTAAAATAAATAAATAAAACAAGCTGAAATAGTATAATAAAAAAAATATGGCTGCACCAGGGTCACTCCAGAAATGGGGCCAATGCTGCTGCTCTGCACCCCAATGCTGCTACCAGTACCCTCTTTCCACACCTGGACCTCTGCCCTCCCCCTCACCCCGCTGTGGCAGCCACAAACACTCATCTGCCCCACCAGCTCAGATGGCAAAGGGAGGAAGAGGACTAGGAGCAGGCCAGAGACACAGGGTCTTCTAGTGTGCCCCTTGCCCCTCTCGTGCGCCACTCCGATGCTCCATAGACAGCCCCGGTACTCTGGGCCCTGCCTCCTCCACCTCCCAACACTCACCCTCTCTCGAAGTGACCCCCGCTCTAGGTGGGCCAGCAGTGGGCAGCAGCCACAGCAGCAGCACATCCCAGCACGGGCACTGTCCAGCAGCAAGCGGCCCTGGCACTGCCTAGTGCTATTGTCCCAGAGGTGGCCTGTGCCCGCCCCAGGGCCCAGGCTTCTGAGGATGGAAGGACACAGGGCCTGCTTCCCAGGGGTGCCTGCTCCAGAGATGCAGTAAGTGGGCTTGTTTGGCTCTTTGTTCTACCCTTTTCCAGGTATTCTAAAGATAATCACGCTGGTCTCCCATTTACCCACGCCTAAGTAGGGCACCCCTTTACCTCCAAGACCCAATCCGTCCACCAAGAAAAAGGGCCCATTACTCTATAATCCATAACCCCCACCCCAGTGCTCAGAGGCCCTTCCTGCTTGGTTCGGTCGCATCTAGAGTCATTCTTTTTCTTTTCTTTTTTTTTTTTCTTTTTGAGACAGGGTCTCACTCTGTTGCCCGGACTGGAGTGCACTGGCACGATCATGGCTCACTGCAGCCTCAACCTCCTGGGCTCAAGTGATCCTTCCACCTCGGTCCTCCAAACAGCTGGGACCACAGGCATGCATCATGATGCCCAGTTAATTTTTAATTTTTTTTGTATAGACAGGGTCTTGCCATGTTGCCCAGGCTGGTTTCAAACTCCTGGGATTAAGTGATGCTCCTGCCTTGGGCTCCCCAAAGTGCTGGAATTACAGGTGTGAGCCACCACACTCAGCCCTAGAGTCATTCTCTCTTTCTCACAAATCCCATGGGAAGTTTTTGCTACACTACACACCTTCATCCACACTACTGCTACATCAAGGGTAAAGTAAATAAAGAACATGAAAGCCCTTAGCACAATACCTGGTATACA